GCTCAAGCGATCCTCCTGTCTCAGCCTCCTGAGTAGCTGGGACTACAGGCATGCACCACACGCCTGGCTAATTTTTTTTCTCTTTTCAGTAGAGCCACCAGACTGAATTAATCACTCTGGGCTCCAGCAACACTTTATTTTTTTCCTTTCTTTTGTTTTAATAGATGTAGGGGATACAAGTTGAATTCTGTTACATGCATATATTCTATAGTGGTGAAGTCTGATCTTTTAGTGTACCCACCACCTGAATAGTGTACGTTGTACCCCTTAGAAATACTCTGTTTAAATTGCTGGTGACCACCTGTCAGAGGCTCCCCTGGTAAGATCTCTAACTTATCAAAAGAATTGAGTTGTCTTCTGTTTACCTCTCCACCTTGCATGGGTCTAGCAACTGGACTCACTTAAGCCATTCCAGTAACAGGACGTGATGCACAGAGATGAGAACTCTTGCAGTCAGCTCAGAGCTAGTCAGGAGGTAGTGCAAAGACACCAGGCATGAGCTCCCTCCCTTCCCACCTTGCCTGACCTGTTTTCTCTTGAGATTCAAGGCTCAAGGGCAAGTTCAGACAAACAGGTAAACATATTTGGGCAGTCCACTCTAAGATACTGCCTGGATTTTTACTGCTTTAGGACCTCAAATCTCCATCTTTCTTCCAACCGTCTACACCAGACCTTTGCACAGCCTACTCTGATGAGCACCTTTCTGTCTCACTCCCTTTGTGCACCGCCCTGCACTGGGGACTGATCTCTGAGGCTGTGTAGAATACAGGGCAACACACTGTCCTCCTACACAAAGGCCGAAGGGGAAGAGCAGAGGCCAGGATGGAAACAAGGCCTCCGCACCAGTGCCACTGAACCTCAAACCTTCCACATTCTCTAGGACTGTGCTTTGCAAACTTTGTCCTGCTTAAAAATCACTTAAGCAATTACAAAAACAGATTGCTGGACCCCAGTTCCACGGATTCTGATTCAGCAGCTCTGCGGTGGAGCCCAGGTATCTGTGTTTCCAACAAGTTTCCGGGTCATTCTAACACATCTGGTCCAGGGAACACATTTTGAGTAGCACTTGCTAAGTTCCCCTAGCTTCCTCTGACTGGCTGATTTTCAGGGTTTCCAGAGGCTTCTAGTTTGTACGAAATTTCCTTGTGGTTCTTCCTCATGTCCCTGACCTCTGTAAGTCAGGACTGCCTCAAGATTCAGTCCATGAATTTCTTCTTTATCTAAACTCATTCCCTCCCCGGTAAGCATGTCTGCCTCATGGCTTCAGTAGCAGATATATGCTGATGATTCAACGCCAACTTAACATGCGCAAAACCTAACTGCAGACTGGCCTCTAGAGATACTTCTCTCCTTTCAAATGAGCAGGCCGAATATTTTGGAGTGATCCTTGATTTAGTGCTTTCTCACATACTCCACATCCAATTCATCAGCAAATACCTTCAAGTTAGAAGCAGAATCGGACCACTTCCTACTGCCACGGTCCACCATCATCTTTTGCCAGAATTAATGTGACAGTCTCCTAACTGGTCACTCTGTTCCTACTCCTGTCCCCCTACAGTCTGTTTCTTACAAAGCAGCCAGAATGATCTTTTCAAAATATAAAGTTATGTCACTCCTCCGGCCAAAACCTTCACTTCACTCAAAACCATTCACCAAAGTCCTTTCAATCAAAAGACTTTACACTATCTGGCCTCCCAATACCTAATTGCCAATTCATCCTTCTTTCTCATTCTGTTCGGCCCCTCTGGCCACCTTACTGTTCTCCAGCTAGACCAGGCCTGCACCCACCTCAGTGCCTTCACTGTTGTTCCCTTGGCCTGGAACACTCTTTCCCTAGAAGTCTGTTCCCCTCACCTCCTTTGGGTCCCTATTCTCCATTTGTTCACTCATGTAGTAAATCAGGTGTGAAAAACTATGCCGGATTTCTGGGGATACAGTGGTAAGCAGGGCAGACATCGTGCTCATGTAGCTAACATGCTAGTTGGTAAGACAGTCCACGTACATGGAAACTGTACTGTGTCAGATGCTCAGGATACAGAGAAAGACACATTTCTTGACTGTGTGGAGCTCCCACTGGTGGGGAGAAAGAAATAATTGGGGACAAGGGCAATGGGATAAAGAGATAATGGAAATAAGAGATATTGCAAAGGTAGAAGTAACAAGACTAGAAGAACAATTACATGTGGGGGTGAAAAGGAGGAGAAAGCAAATGAGAGTGTGGGGTTGAAGTTTGAGGAAAACAGGTCAATTATGATGTCATTAATATAGCAAAAGGAGGATCAGAGTTTTGCAAGCTGCACTTTTTGTCTCAAGACTTAAGTTCAAACACTGGTTCGGCCAGATTGTAGTTGTATCAACACTAGAAGAATGACTTAAACTTCTGATGAATCTGTTCTTCCATTAAATAAAGATAATAATTCTTACTTGCACAGTTGAAAGAATTAAGTCTTTCTCTCTTTCACACATATACACTATCTGAAGAAAGCTCCCAATACTTGGCCCTCAGAAAATCCTCAATAAATTACCATTGCTGTTGTTCATCCATCCCAGCACTAACCTAGGAATACAGGAATTTACTCATTTAATAAGTGGAAAAGGAATTTGTTCGTATGGTGCTTGCATTCTGGTGAGTAGTCTACAAACAAGATGACCTTTGATTGCAAAAAGGGCTATGAAGAAAAGAAAGCAAATATGATCGATTCTTATTTAGCAATGAGAATGTAAGTTCTATCAGTACATCCACGGCAAGTGTGGGAAGGGCAGCATTAAACCAGGTGGTCAGGGATGGTCTCTAAGAGCCCCGTAAAAATAAATTAGCTGCACAAAGATCTGGGATGAGAAGAGTACAGAAGAAAGTGCAAGTGCAAAGGCCCTGACTTCTGCTTGTAACACCACCTGGCCAAGTCATACTTGTTAAGTGTTAAGTGTCTTAACCTTTTCAAGCCTCAGCATTCTCAGCTGTGACACAGGGCTAGTACCATCTAACTAACTGATTCATTCAAATATTTATTGATGGGCTACTACATGCCAGGCACTGTTTTAGGCATATGGTGGTGAAAGTCCTAGCATGATACCTGGGATATAGGCCGGGCGCGGTGGCTCACGCCTGTAATCCTAGCACTCTGGGAGGCTGAGGCGGGAGGATTACTTGAGCTCAGGAGTTCGAGACCAGCCTGACCAAGAGCGAGACCCCGTCTCTACTATAAATAGAAAGAACTTAGCCAAACAACTAAAAATAGAAAAAATTAGCCAGGCAC